ATGATGCATAGTTGGATAAATAAAACTGTCACATAAACCACCAAAACCAAGCATATAGAAATGGCAGAACACTATTTTGAAATATCTATGTTCCTGTGGATTTTGCTTCTCTTATGGCTTCAGGTTGCATGACCTCCTCTGACTCCCATTCCCTGCCAGCCAGTCAGCCAGCGTCTTCAGCTGTCAACAGACACACTAAGGAGCTTGTCAGATAAGGGCAACATGTTGAATTGGACCAGTGTTTGATGGATTAAGACCCTGGCTGTTTCACCTGTGCAATTTCTGACTTATATTATGAATGACATTTTCAAAGCCTTTGGGCAACATTGCCAAGCGTGCCCCTGGAGACTATATTACAATGTCAGAATAATGTCAATTCTAGTAAAATAATTTTTATAGAAAAATGATTAAAGTAACATCAAGCTTTTGACAGCATTTCCACAAAAACTCAGAAATCCTCAGATAAGGCTCCCATAGCACTGCAACTTGACCTCCTTTTTTTTAATGTAATTAAAGAACAGTATTTTATTTTCACTTCTCTTTTTCTTTTTTTTTTTTTTTTTTACTTGCTGTAGCAGCTCTTTATTTAAAGCCTTACAGTGTTCTCATGGGTACTATTAATTCTACATCTAAAATAGTGTTTGTCAGAAATTTTTTTGTACTATGCGTTGGAACTGCACATGTATGTTTTAAAAGCTCTGTCCCACCAAGAATACTTTTGATGGCTTTAGATTGCATCAAAAAGATTACCTTCTTTTTTAGCTGCCCAAACAATGTATTTACAGTTATATTGACTGAAAATTCAAATTAGAAAAAAAAATTCAACCCAATCTACTAGCCTGTTTTCTTGTGAAAACAGCCTTTATACATTAATCAATAACATAGCCAGCTTCATGCAAACAAACATCTGGAACCTTGCTGATGGTTCATTCTGAAGACTTTACAATGATCAGACTCCTTTCTTCTCTTCTTTTAAACATGCATAGAATGAGCCTGTTTTTTCTCTACTCTCTATGAAGAAAGCACTGTAGATTATTTTGGTGAGAGGATGAATGAGCAATACACAGATCATTCTCAAATATGAAAAATAGTCAGAAAATTAAAATGATCCTGCCTCAGAGTTCTCCAGGAAAGGGAGAGCTCTCAGTTATGCCCAATCCTGCATGTCTAGCTATCTCACATAGCAGATCTCTCTGCAGCACGTCAGAGATTCAGGCAGCTGAGAAGGGACATTCGAATGAAATTGATAAGTTTTAAAAACTGCCTGACAGGCAGCAGGCCAAAGGAACTCATTCAAAATTGTAATACTGCTGTGGAATTTTCCAGTTTTGACATATTGGTACATGCTGAGGAGGGACCTTTTCATCTGACTTTTCTGATCATCTCCATTACTCAACCTGTGTTGATCTAGACTTCAGCCACTGCAAATTCTCTGCCAAACAGCCTGCTTCAGCTGAGCCAGCTCTTCTACCGAGGAACAAGTCAGCAGGACTTCAGATCATCATAAAGGGTATCCCCACAGCAGGAGAGCTGGCATAAAGGAATAGACAGTGGCACTGATATCAACTCTAGCTGAGCTCTGAACCGCTTTTCTAATTTTTGACAAGTAAATGATGTTGACATTTTCCAGTGTGGATACTTAGTGTTGGACAGCTGTAGCTAGATTTGGTAAATACCTGTACTTCACATTACTTACACTTAATTTAATCCTTCTGCCTCAGCTTTCCAAGTATGGAAAATTAAAGATAATAAAATTATTATCTTCAGAGAGGAGTTATTATAATTAATGTTTTTAAAATCCTAAATGTAATTAAAGTACCCAGTAAACCTTCCAGCTAAGGATAGATAAGGATGTATAAATCTTCTGCAATTTGGTATATTTTTTGCCTTTCCTTACTTTCTGATTTATTTTTTTTTGTCAGTAATGATATCATGTCAGTTCAAGAAAGGAAAGGGAATCAGAAGAAACCAGTGCTTGAGAAGCATGTGAAATATGATCTTAATAGTTACTGCTTTTATTACTTCCAAAGGATATGCTTTTCTTCCTCTCTTTATATAAACTTCTGTAGTCTGAGAAGTTGACCTGATCTAAGTCAGGTAAGGCTTCTCTTTTAACATTTCCTTCTTTTGTGTACTTTCCTCTTTTCTTTTTTTCCTGCCTTCCATTGTTGTGTTTTCTTATTTTTCCTTTTCCCTCAATCTTCTCATATGTAGTAACTTTTCAGCTTCTCTTGCCCCTTTCTTGCTCTGTTTCAAGACCCTCTACCTACTCCATTTTCTTCCATGGTGTGAGGAGAAGCGTCCTGGTGGGGTGCCTGCTGTCAGGGTTAGCCCTCACCTCAGGAGAGAGAAACTGAGTTGAAACTCACTGCTGTCACCATTGCCTGCATTTATGGTGATTAAGACAGTTTTGGCAAAAAAGAGAAGTAGAGGTACACAACTGATATTCATCCATTCCCATTCTTGAGGCTATCAGGGATGACTTTGCGCCAGGAGTTTTTACACACATTGAAGTCCTTATCTTAATCACGATTACCTGAAATGAAGATATTGCAGCTGAGGGTCTATAGATAGCAAGCTCCTGCTTCTCCCATTCACCTCCTCTCTGCTCCTCAAGTCTTGACTTTTCATTTCAAGGATCTGAAATGATTTGAAGTGAGTAACACACTCCAACAGGGGGAAACTGTTGTAATAGCGTTAAATGATAAGTTGTAGTCAATATGTTTGTTCTCCTCTCTGTCTTCTCTGCTCATTTCTGGTGGAAGTCTAGATCCAGAAGTGTGTGAGAAATAATATTATAGAATTTGTTTTTTTTTTTTTTTTTTTTTCAATTTAAAACTTGGAATGCAAGGCAAGCTTGAAGATATCATGTCCTGTAGTTTATTATATGCAAATTTTAAACTCATTCCCATATGTCAAATAATAAATAGATGCAAACAAAGGATAGCAGTAGAATAAGGTTACAAGAGGACCATGCTTCCAATTATGTGGGGGGTCGGGGGTGTGCAGTAACTTTGTTGCCTATAGTAGGGTTCCTTCAAATTTTACCAATATAATTGGAATTAGCCTTGGTGCTCTGCTGTTGGGATACTTGATTGTCAGCTGTATTTTTCTAACACCAGTTTTTTCATGGAATTGTAATTACGATTTTGTATTGTCATCACAGTACAGTCCAAATTTCACAGTTGGTCCCTGCAGCACCATTTTACCTCCTGAAGAGTAGCTCTCTTGTCACTCTTCCATTTCATTCCTGCCTGTGCCAGGTAACCATTTGGAGATAATAATCTTTTTTTCTGGATGGTCTCCCACTGACAACATGAAGTCACTAGTCCTCTGAACTGTACCTGTGGTTTCTGTTTCTTTGGCCAGACCCCTACTTTATCCTTGTGGAATATCAAGAACAGTGCGGACTCAGCACTTTTGTTGTCCACTGACATAAAATTTGTTTGTAAGATGTTTGGAATAGAAATCAACTCAGCTTGTGTAAGGATGCTTCATAAGGTATTACTGAAGTCTCTATCACACAAATAATCATATCTCAGGACATGCGGAGAACTGTGCTTTTGAACTTTCAGAGTGACACATAGTAAGAGTCAGCCTTTATTTGTTTCCTTAAAAAGCAGAGATGATACTGGAAAAAAGATTCTTTTTTGTAGGAACGTCTTTACAAAGTCCTGAATTCTAGTGTTTGGTTGAAGAAGGAAGTTTCCTTATAGATGACAATGCAGGAATGTTCCTTGCTCATGCTCCAGAAGTTTTCTGAAAGCACTATATCTTTGCTTCTCCCTTTGAATATGCACTGCTCCCCATGCAGCTGCTCATGGAACAGTCTTGGCTTTTTCCCTGGTGGCTGGTAAAGCATCTGCTGTCATGGATGAGCACCACTGGTTTCTCCCAGTAAAGGGCAGGGATTATACTGTTGACCTCAATGTAATTTTAAAAGTAAAATTTGTCTATGCCGTTTATTTGTCAAAAGGTAGCTTCTAGGAAAACAGAAAATATTAACTATTCATATTAAATGATGATTAAATGTGGAATCATAATCTAACAGCAGGATCACTTGTATAACAGGCAGTTGTATTATTTTTAGGAACAGGAAATTCCGTGATGAGTCAAATTGCACTTCGTTGTATTCAAATTTTTCTTTTCCAGTCAGTAGCCGGCTTTAAGGCAGAGAATTCCTTGTGTTGACTGTCTTGAATGCAGACAGTAGTTGGCAACTGCTGTAAGAAATTTTCTGCAAGTGTGTGCTAACCCTCTTAGTGAATATCATTCTATTTTGAGCCTAATTGAAGACTCAAGATAGAAAACTCAGCAATTATTTTTCCCTGCTGTACAATATCTAATAGTCTGATTTCACGGCTGTCTGACTACAATGATTAGGAAGAACATTTTCTTATAGTATTTACAGTACCATAACAGTGTTTCAGGAGCATCATGTATCAAGGGAAGGAACTATTATGTCAGAATATGTGCCACTTAAAAACACACCCAATGAAAAAGTAGGATGCTGCTATGTGTTATATTTGGTGTTGTCAATAATTGCTTTGTAAGCTTTTTCTTGTCTTTGGCTTTGAAAAAGCTATTAAGGATGAAGAAAGCAGCCTTCAACTAGAAAAGCTTTAATAGGAGTGATCTGCAACAACAGAGATAACACCTCTGCAACAAAGGCATTTTGTGTTTAGAACTGTACTTCCATGTTAAGTCCAAGATGGTGTGGTTGTTTTTGCTGGTAGAGAAATGGGAAATATGTGTGTAGTTGCTGATCACTGTATAGTTTTTTACCTGCAACAAACTACTACCTAGGACAAACTCTTGTCTGATAACCTCTGTGTTAAGTGGGACAGAGACTCCCAGTTTTTACACCAGAATATTGATTAGGAGTAGTAAACAAGAACAGAAATCTCTTCAAAATGTCCCATAATCTTGCATAGAAAGTTAGAAGAAATACTATCAATTTAAAATGTTTGCTTGTTTTTTTTTTTTTCTTTTTATATCAGATAGTATTACTGAAGTCTTCACTAACATCTATGTGACCAGTTTTGGACCTGTTTCAGATACTGATATGGTAAGTCGCTGAATCTTTTGCATATACGGGTAAATGGTGTAAGATATATACTGCTAAGTGCCTTTAAGCTTGTATTCTGCTTTGACTTACTGTGAAAAAATTTGGAACTATTTAATTGAAATCAGAAAACACCAAATCCCATTTAGTTCTGAAGCTGGCAATTGGTTTATAGATGTTACATGACAAGTATGCTTGTATTAGCAGTTTAATTTGGACCAGTGAATCTTCTGATTGCCCCCACTGACTGTACTTTGGTTTCTGTTCTGAAGCAGTCTTGAGATGAGTGAACTGAATTCCTCTTGGATGAAAAACTGGAGTGAAAGGTGCACTGTAGGAGCACCCCTAATATTGGCAACAGACTGAGGGACCTGATGGAAATCTAAACTAAACTTCTTGAAAGATATAGATTAGAAGTTGGGTTATCTGCATGATTGTGGTATTCTACAGATCTATCCACTGTTTAGTAACCATTTAAGGAAATCAGTGACATTAAAAAAAAAAAAAAAAGAGAAACTGTCAGAATATTGCTCTGGATTACAGTTTTTCATGAAAACATTAATGGTGAAAACCTCTGAGGCAAAGAATTCTTTGTAGGCTTATGGCAAATCATAGAGAGATTAGGGAGAACATCTCACACTGAGAAGAAGGATCTGTTTTCTCTAAAAGGGAAGGGAAGGACAAACTGAAACTTACTTTAACTGCCTATTATGCCCCGATCTGCTCAGCAGGTTATAGGAGAAGGTTGGTTCACTCTAGGCAGTGTGTGGGTGAAATAACAAAATTCTCAGAAGGTTCAGTAACAAAGTTTTACTTGCAAACTTAAGAACATTAAGGTAGAATAACACAAATACTTGAATACTTGGCAAATTCTAAAACAACATCCAGACAAAGTAAGGCACTTCACAAACTTTAGCTTAGCAAACTTAAACTTAGCCAACTTTAACTTATCCAGATGCAACAAGGCACTTACTAAGGCATTGACTGGAATATTTTAGTCTGGTTTAGAATATATTTTGAGAAGAAGAAATTAGGAGAAGAAAGAGAGAAAGATAGGAGAAGAAAGAGAGAAAGAAAGAGAAATAAAGGATAAGCGTAGAAAGATATTACCACCCATGGATCCAGTGACGAGACTTCATAGCTGCGATTTTGATGTCTGGTGGTTGAAGTGATGGTCGCAATCTTGATCCATCGGGGGCAGAGGAAGCCCCAGAAACATGAAATCCAATGGGTTAATATACGCTCAGGTTTAGGTGGAGTGCTCTGGTACCTCCCCCCGGGGTGGGGAGTTTTAGGCTGTCTGTTGCAACTTTGTGGATCTTTTGCAACAATGCGGATCTGTTGCAACACTGTGGGTCATGCACAGTCCTCTGGTGGAAGGCCACAGAAATGAGTCTGGGGGCACTTTGGTTATTTATGACACCTTCTAAGACATCACAGTTGTCTCTCACATCAGTGTAGTTGAGCCAATCATGCCCCATCAGAAGGGATCAATACCTTCAGGCCTACATGTGAATGTCCCAATAACTCACCTGGGGGATATTTTTACAAGTGATCCAGTTATACCCCATCAGAAGGGATGAAAAATGTGAACATCCGGATACCTTCCCAGGGGATGGGCAGTCGTAGAACTGAGACAGTTGTGTAAGGGAGGAAATTGGCGTGATAAAAAGCTGTCCCACTTCTCAGGATGAGCTTCTTATCAGCCTCTTCCCTTACCTGACTCAAAACCTAGCTTCCTGCTAAACACAGCTTTATTTGTCATGGGCATCTTCCGGTGCTTACACCCTCTGCACCTGATCTATTACCTTGCTCATCATCAGCAAGGCACCCATTGCTTTTGCAAGTGGCTGATTAGGCCTTTACCATTAACATTTCAGTCTCTCGCACTATCCTTCCCATTCCTGCAAGAAATTATTTTTGAAGTGTTTTGAACATTCATTATTGTATATGACATATAAAATACTACCTAGGTGTATCTGTAGGAATTAAAAATGAATTTTTTTTTTTAAATCAGGCAATATTTCTTTTTTTGTGGAAAACTTTTAGATTATGCATCATGCAAAATAGGGAACATCTTGATGTTATGAACTAGTTTGCAGTGAAACTAAATTATTTATAGTACACTGTACATTTAAAAAGTTATTTGCCCACTGACTAACAGGTAATCATAGCTCTAGAGTATATACTTTGTGGGTTTTTGTGTTTGTTTTTTTGTATGATAGTTTCAGTTTTCAACCTCTGTTTTGATAGTGATGAATACATTACTGAAGCTTCACAATAAAGACCATTTAATAGGAGGAATAGACATTTATTTTCTTTTTGTTACTGTATAAGTTGCTGATTCTCTCATGGTGTTTTTTCCTAATGATTTTAAATTTCTGAAATTGCTCTTATTTTATTACTAATTAAAAAAAAACCAACCAAAACAACAGCTATATACAAAGATGATATGAACATCTTGACCTCATTTGTCTAATATCTCAGGCCTTCACAGTGTTTACACTTACAGTAGTCCTGTATAATGGGGAGATGATATTAACCCACTTTTAAAGATTTGGTACTGAGGCACAAGGATACTTACCCAAGGCTGTGCAAGTCATCTGTGCTCAAATGGAAATTTAAGGAAAACCTTCCAGAGCTTATTCCCTAACTCTCCAAACATTTTTGACGTCAGTGGGTAAATGTGTGGAGAACTCTGGGTGTCCATTTGCATAGTCATATATAACAGTGCAATAAGGGATCAGGTTGTTTGATGCTACAGATCTATTCAGAGATGTTAATCAAAGCAGAGTGCAGTGCATCAGAACAGCAGCTGTTACTGTAATGGGTAGGTTTATTTGCAGATAAAAGTAAGAGCAGTTTAATTCTTATTACTACAAGCTTCAGGGTTAATTTAGCTTGTTCTGCTGATAATTATAAAATCATTTTGAAACATGTGAGCAGTCAATCAGAAAATTTCAACATGTGAGTTTTGAAATAATAGCTTCCAAACTATCACATATTCTGTCGAACATGAAGGTGACATTAGAGTTTTAACCATGAATACTCTTTCATTTAGGAACTGTATGACAGAACTGATAATGTAAACTGTTATGCAGAGTATTCATTGATATTTTCTTCTGTAAATATGGGAAACTAATTTTAAAATTTCCTCTTTAAAAGGCTTCATTTGAAAAATAGGTTTGACTATTGCCTGTGTCCTGAATTTTCAGAGGATCCCAAAATTAACCTCAGATCTTTTCAGGAAGGTTGGGTCACAGCCCCTGAACTCCTCTGCTGTCACAATGTGCATGGTGAGGCCTTCAGTCATATCAGATTTTTAGGCTGAACACTGCTGCTGCCCAAAACTCTCATGGATATCACTGCCCCTAGGATTCCTTTCCCTGGGATTTCTCATAGCAATGAAAGGCATCAGATGTGTGACTGTACCCCTTTGCACGATCTATTTTCCAGTTTGGGTTTTTTTCCCCTTGGTTAGCACCTTGTGAAGAATAATGGTGCTTAGAAGAAAAGCCTTTTGAAAACAGGAAGGGGACTCTGCTGTGAGAGGTGGCTAATACGTGCTTTACAGTTTGGAAGAAGGAGGTGGCACAAAGACAATGATGGGTGGATTGGAGCTAAGGACAGTTCTCACATAGTAGTGTTGATTCATGGAGTTCATAAAATGTCATTCCAACCTTTGTTGGTTTTGAATTGGTAGTAGTTTGTGAGGTTTCTGTTTTTCTCACTAAGTCTATCAGTTCCCATTAATGATAATATAGTATTGTGTACAATCTGTGACTCCATATGATTTCTATAATGTAGGTTCTTATTCATATTCTCTGTATTTTTCCAGTACCACAATTTTGCAAAAAAATAATTAAGTCCAGGGGAATTTGATCTTTGATTTTAAGTCAGCTGAAGTTGCCATTGATAAATCCAGGAGGTAGAAGCTGAGGCTGAGATTTTTCTCCAAATGTGTTGTCAAAAACATTTGGTCCTTATCGTGGATTAACATCTTCACTAAGTTAAAAAGATGCTACTCTCTCTTCTGACCAAAATAGTCAACTACCAAATTTGTTCACTCTTGGCCAGGAGTCTGTTGCAAACTGTACTTTAAATGAATGGCTGTGACTAAAAATTTGAGTATCTATATCAGTTGTGTCAAAGAAAAGCTATTGCATGTCAAACACTGTTTAATGCCAAATATACAATGCCAATACACAAGAAATTTCAACTTTGTTTTGTAAACTAGTGAGAATCAAGGAAAGTAAAGCAAAACATGGGATTAAACAGACTTTACTTCCACTCTTCTGTCTTTTTGAGCTGTTATTTCTCACAAATATTTAAGTTCAGTATTATGATGCTATGCCTTATAGGCTTTCAACCTTATCAGTTATACAAATTTATTTTGACATTAGCCTGAGAGAAGAAAAGCTGCATTATTTAGAAAAACAAACAAATGAAAAATTGGACAGAACCACTGAAAAACAAAACATCTCTGAATTTTCTAGAATTACAAGGTTAAATTATGATTAAAGAAGCTAATTAAAACATTTATAATAAAATTAAAATATTTAATATTTGAAAATTCAGAGGTAAAGGATAATTTTCATTTGATTATAATTTGTAGGATAAAAAAGGATATAGTTTAATTTAAACATTAAACCTGATTATTTATTTGTTTAAAAAAAATTCATTATAAATCTATCTGCTGCTTACTCAGATTTCGGCACTGAAAGCAAGGTACTTTTACTTCTTTTTTTCACACTTGCTTTCTTTCCAGGCTCTCTCAACACTTTGGCTTCTAAAATTTCCCACATAGCCATAGACATAGTAAGTACTGATGTCAATAATAGAAAAAAAAATGTATATAATAAATGAGAAACTGATTTGCTCCTCAAGCAGTAGTTATTGCATGTAAGATTATATAAGTACTGAAGTCCACTATGAGAAAAGCTTTGCCAAGATTTAGCCAGATTTTGCCTCAGAGCAGTCTTTCTGATTGATACTGGGAACAG